ATGGAGGCTGCCTGCTCTGGATGTTTTTACCCTGGATGTATCTTAACTAACAAAGGTAAAGGGCTGTGTCTATTGGTATATCAAAATCCAAAATATGAAACTCACTATGATTTCGATTACTGGGAAAACGTCTTTTATTGAAGGGGATTAAAAGGACCACAGATTATTAGATTTTCTGCATCACGTTGATCTTGAAATCATTTTAGCCATATTATCCATTTAGCCCTTTAAAATAGGCTAGTGTTACACCAGGACAGCCTGACAGGATGGGAAGAAGCAAGGCTATGGAATGACATAGTTGTGCATTTGAAGTCTGAATCTGGCTCTGTGACCCTAAGCAAGGGATTTAACCTCTTAGCCTCAGTTTCCTCATTGGGAAATTAACGATTCAGGGTATTTGTGAGTATTTTATGAGCATCGTGCTAAGATGTATGTAAAGTTGGCACAGTGCTTTGCACATAGTAGGGTTTCAATAAATAGTATTTGTTATTATTTCCTAGTTTATTGATGAGGAAGAGAGGCACAAAATGAGCAAATATGTAAGTGAAATAAGTCAGAGAGAGAGAGACAAATACCATAAGATTTCACTTATATGTGGAATCTAAAAAACAAAATAAAGAAACAAAGCAAAAACAGACTCATGGGTGCAAAAAGCAAACTGATGGTCACCAGGTGGGCGGGAGGTTGGAGGGATGGATGGAAAAGGTGGCAGGATTAAGAAGTACAAATTGCCAGTTATAAAAATAGTTGTGGGGATGTGGCATACAGCATAAGGAATATAGTCAATAATATTGTAATAACTATGGATGGTGCCAGGTGGGTACTAGAATCATTGGGGCGATCACATCATAAGTTATATAAATATCTAATCACTGTGTTGCACATCTGAAACTAATATAATATTGTGTGTCAACTATAATTGAAAAATAAGTTTAAAAACATGAGCAGATATATTCTTTGAGTGACTCTGAGCCCTGCAGAAATTCTTGCTATAACCCGGATGAAGTCAGCGTCCCCGTATTTTTATTCTGTTGTTACTTAAACACTGGGTCATTCTAGCTTCTAGAATGTACTAAATCTTGGATGGGCTTCAGGGTTCTGGAATCACTTCTTATTTGATCTGTAGTCACAGCTTTTGTTTACCTGGGATATAGGTTTCAAATTATAGTTGAGTAATGCTATTCACCTAGTGATAAAGCAGGTCTGTACCTTAGAAGGCACAATGTCAGTTGGCTGTAGACTTAAACAGTGCTAGGCTGATGTGTGTGGTCTTCCTTTTCTCGCCTTAACCCTTTTAAAAAACTGCCTTTCCTGTTCTGGTTTTAAATTTACCTACTCCAAGAGATTGATCCATTTTATCTCCCCTCTAGTCCCTCATTTGCTTCCTATCCCTTCATACTTATGTAATCAAGATCTCACGAAGAGCTCTGTTTTATTGTGTTGCTTTCCAATTACACATCTGAGTCTTCTTTTGAGAGAACATCAATATGTATTGTAATAAATGATTTATTTGCTTTCATTTCTTTCATTTATGTAACACTTATTATTTTTTCATTTTTCTTTTCCTTATGTTTTTCTGTGTTGATCAGAATCTTATAAATCAGTTTCTTGTAATTATCAACCAAACTTTTAAATTCTTGTGGAGGAGATTCTATGTTTTTTAATCTGTTTTGTTTTATTTCCCTTTCCCTCCCCCATTCTTCTGTAGGCTTACCAACATGCATACATATAAAGCACTAAACTTGATGCTGAATTTATAGTAGATTTTTCATACTTATTGTATAACTGACAGTTTGACAGTCAAACGCATTCAGTTCCAGTGAGAAATTGTGTGCTGTAGTAGAAAGCTCATCCTGACCAAATTGATCAACTCCTGGCACTGGTCCTTATTGGTGGTATGGCTCTGGGCTAGTTACTTAACCTTCCAGGGTCTTACTTTTCTGCTCTGCAAAAAGAGACAGTGATACTAGCCTTCCAGATGGGGTGAGGAGATGAAATGGAATGGCATTTGTGCAAGTGTCTGGCACTTTTCCCCTGTCTACCTTCCCCCATGCCTTTCCTCATCAGTAGAAAGAGCCATGGAGCACCTGACGCCGTTATCTATTTTCAAGCCATGGTGCCATTAAAGTTTGATAGTGCGGCTGGGAGCTGCTGGCCAGAAGAGGCAAGATGCAAGAGAAGAGAAAGAATAAGAAATAAGAAGAAGAATAAAAAATTTTGCAGCTCTTGAGAAAGCTAGGCATAGGCTCAGGGTTTATGACCTGTCCATATGTGTGCCCGCCAGTGGATCCTGTATATTCCTGCCTGAGGTTACATTGAAGTACATCTGTATCTATACTTGCATCTGTATCCTCCATCCTGTGCCTCATTGTAAGGGAGCTCTTGGATGCAAACAGCATGGCAGTTGTGTTCCCCTTAGCAGCTGTCTTTATTAGTGATTTCATTACAAGGATTTAAAAACTGTTTCCTTCTTTTGGAGAGACAGACCATAGCTTGTTTCTATGAACAGCTCCAGGGCTGGGTTCCCCTGCTTTCCTGGAAACTGCTTCAAGGGTCATCTCCCTTTCCTTCTCCCCACCTCAGTAGCACCCCCAAACCCTGACCCTGACCAGTTCGGTCTTGTCTTTGCCAGGAGGACCCAAGCCCAGCACTTACCTGGGGATGAACTCCCCAGGTCATCAGATTAGAACGCAAGGCTGGGACATGTGAAAATGCAGTTGCCACAGAGGAACGGCGGGTCAGCCCTGATTTTACTCCTGATTCCGACTCGTTACGTGTGGGCAGACCCATTTCCCAACAGGGCAAGCTGAGAGCATCTTTTCTGCCTTTATGTGAAGGGAGGGAGGGAGGAAGCAGAGCCTATTTGATGATTTTTGAAAGGCAAACCCCCTCCAAATTTCATCGGATGTTAAAAGCAAAACAAAAAGTCAAGGATTACAAAAAGGGTAAATTTTTTGTTTTTGGTTTTTTGTTTGAGTAAACACAGAGACATGCCAGATATGGTAACTGCTCATACTATGATTTTTAATTTTTTCTACCTCCTTGGTTTTTCTCTTTGAACAGGAAATTCTTCCCTGTAGAGTGACACCTTTTCCAACACCGCTCTTTCTATCAATGGTGCCAGTAGCCTGTGTGGTCACAAGGAAAGGACCTTAAAGTGTGTCAGGAACACTGGGATCTGGCCAGACACCGCCAGTTCCTTCTGAGGGATGACCTCAGCCATTGTTTATTTACGTGCAGCCTGGAAAGTCTGCAAGGAGAGACTTCAGGGAGTCTTAAATTGCCTGAAATGGTATTAAAAGTTAGTATATATGTATTTCCCCCCAGGGAAATGGTTCATAGCTTTTTATCAAAGGAACCTGTGACCCACATTTTAGGACCATTCTGATAAATGAGCTCTGAGGCACCTACAAGCTTGAGAATTTATTTGGCTTTTATTACCCTTTCTGTCGTGTAGACGTTTCTGGAACGTTTGATGTCTTCATCAGCCCAACACCGTATTTTTCTCCCTGCCTGTTTCTGCCATCTCTCCCCTGGTCTGGATGGTCATCAATGGATCCGTCCCCTACTAGAGCATCATGACTTCTAGCCTCAGGTTTGCCCCTGCTCTGGTCTGACATCACAAGTGCTATTGAATCAATCTTTCTTCATTTCTCTCTCCTGATCAGGACCTGGTGACAAACTTGCCTCTCCTCTTTGACATGGAGAAGAATCTCTTTAGCACGGCCTCCCAGCATCCCTTAGCTAAACCTCCCCCCTACTTCATGCCATAGCCTGTCTTGTCTCATTACTGTGACAAGGGCTCTTTCACCCCAGCACGGCCAGACTTGGTGGTGCTGTTTTTGTCATCCCAAAGCTTCTTCCTGTATTCCTGTACTTGCTGTCACCCTGCCTTGTGCATACGTGCCTGCCTTTTACCAATCCATACCAGGAGGCTCTGTGTGGGGGAACAGGCTCCCGACCCAATTCCTCGGGAAGACGTCCCCAACTGTGCACCATCTCTGCACTTACCTGTGCTTTCCCTCTTGTTTGTCTTATGACCCCCTTGTCTCTTAGTTGAGATGGAGGGCGGGGTCATGTTCTCTTTTCCCTGTTCTCCAGAGTGACTTGGGTTTTCTCAGACCCATAAGTGATACCCAACAAATGTGAAATGAATGAGGAGGTGAAAAGCGAGGGTGTGTGCGTGCCTGCCCGTGGAGCTGCGTGGGGAAGAGGGTGCGAGCATCATGGACCCAGCTTAAGTCTTCCAGTTTCACTCATACTCTGTCCAGGTGTGTTTCCCAGTCCTGAGCCCAGGTAGCAGGAACAAAAATGTAGACCATGACCAAGCCTTAGGTCCAGTAGCCGTGTGTGTGTGTGTGTGTGTGTGTGTGTGTGTGTGTGTGTGTGTGTGTACTGGGCTCCCAGGGCAGAGAGGCTGGTGAGGTTGGAGGTGGAGAGGGAGAGCCATCGGGTAGAGTGGCTTCATTAGGATCCCAGGGGAGGGCAGTGTGTTTCTCCCCTCCTGTTTCAGAGGCAGCCCATATCCCATATTAGTTACCCAAGGAACTTAGAGGAAGCTATTTTCTTTTTCTTTCTGCTTTTTGGTTGTTTTTTTGTTTTTAAAAAATGAAGTGTTAATACTGCCAATTGTCAGATTGGCATGGGTTCCTTTTCCTTCAATCAGTTGCTCTTCCCCCTTTACCCCTCCTCCTTGGACAATTAGCAAAGTGTTTGGTCTTTGGTTTGGATGAATAATTGATTCAGAAGCTTTGTGAATGATTCATGGCCCATATGGTGGGGCAACAGGGTATGAGTGTGTGTGTGTGTGTGTGTGTGTGTGTGTGTGTGTGTGTGTGTGTGTGGCCAGCACCCCATACAAAAGGCCAAAGGCTTCTCCCTGGCTCAGCAGAGAGGCTGGTGCAGAACCCCATCCCCAGGGGCAGAGCCGGTTGCCCAGGGCCTTTCCCTCTGTATTCTGTCAAAGGTGAGGGGCTTGGAGCTTCTCCCAGTAAAGCAAGGTTCTCGCTGGGTATCTACATTTCAGTCCTTCTCGATCAGCGGTTCTGTTTTGGGTCTGATTAATCAATGACTTGGAGTTTATCCCCATTAAACCAGCTAGGCACCCTCCCCAAGATGGATGGCTAATTTGACTTTCAAAGCATTTGAGGAAAGGGCATATATTGCCTCCCTTCCTTTGTGTTCAGGTATTTCACCTTCCTAGTTAGGGGACAATTTATTTCTTAGGTTAAGTCATTTCCTAGATACTCCCTGCTACTACGCTAATTCGGTTTCCTTGTATATCTACTTCACTAGAGTCAGTGCACACCTGGTGACTGCTCATTTTACAGCTCTTCTTTGTCTTTGAAAACTGTTATGAAATACTTATGTGCATGGGACAATGGGACTGATAATCTGGCTTGTAGAAGAGTGACATTCCCTATCTACTAGTCTTCTCAGTTTTAGTCATTATGTAGGGGAAAAAAAGAACAAAACTGAGTATGCCCTGATCTTTGCAAGCCAACTAAGAAATAAATAATTTGGTTACCTTTTAAGCAGTCAGACTCTACATTTTATCATCGGCAGTTGAGACAGAGGCAGTGTATGAGTAAAATGCAAGACTCTTATGAAGCTATGGCAGGGTTTTCCCCAAAACGTCATAAAGACATTCCCCTATATTTCCTAGTACAATTTTAAAATTAGGTTTGTCATATTTAGGTCCTAATCCTTCTTGAATTTATTTTCGTGTATTATGTGAGGTGTGAATATACCTGTGTTTTTTCATAGGTTCCCAACTCCATTTAATGAATAGTACATCTTTTGCTGCTGACGTGTAATGCCACGTTCCCATATGTGCGTGGTTTATTTTTAGGCTTTCTGTTCTATCCCATTGGTTATTATTTGTCTATCCTATTAATGACAATTTTATAGTCCTTTTTGATAAGTGATAGCGCTAATCATCTTCTCTCTATTTTGTCTTTAAAATTGGCTTATCTTGGGCGCTGTAGTTTCATATGAATTTAGAATTAACTTGTCAAAATCATAAGATTTTTGCCTGGAAATGCAGTGTATTTATTGAGTAATTTGGGAAGCATGGACAGTTTCACAATGTTGAGGCTTGCCACTATCTCTTCGTTTACTTGGGATACATTTTAGATCTGATAAGAGTTTTGGAGATTTCTGCATTTAGGACCTGCCCATCTTTTATTATAGTTGTTTCTATGTATCTTACAATTTTATTGCTCTTGTGAACGAATTAATAGTTTTTTGCATTTCTAATCAAACATTGCTAGTGTATAGGAATGCTACTGTTTTTGTTTGTTGATATTGTATCCAGCAATCATGTCAAATTTTTTCATTAAATAAAATCATTTATCATCTATATATCACCTATGTAATGTTACTAACAATTGTCACCCCAATAAACTTTAAATAAAAAAGAAATAAAATCATTTATTTGTAGATTCTCTCAGGCTATCAATGTAGAAAATTACACCAACTGCAAATAACTGTTATTATAGTTCTTTCTTTCCAATTTGCCCACTATATATATATATATATATATATATATATATTTTTTTTTTTTTTTCTTATATTGCACTAGCTAGAACTCTAGAACTTCTGGAAAATGTTGCATAATGGCAGTAATAGAAGGCTTTCCTATATTGTTTCTGATATTAAAGGAGATGTTTTTAAAGTAAACCATTAAGGCAGGTGTTTGTTATAGTATTATGGTGGATACCCTTTATAAAGAGTAACAATTAAATTAATTTTACGAATAACTCAGTACTTTCATGTAATTTATAAACTCAAAGGTTTTGGAAGTTCATTCTGTAGGAGGTTAAACACTGAAATTACTGTGAATGCTACTGAAAATTCACTTTAAAAGTTTAACATTAACAATAAACTTATTTTTGGAGTAATGACATGCATACCATTTTCGTGCAGGATGGTGTTACTGTATAAACAGTTTTTACTAAATTAAGAATCCTGTGGAATGGGCACAGAATTCTTAATCACAGCCAACAAGGTCTGGTAGATATTCTAGAAATTGAAATAGAAGCTGTAGGCAAATAGAACCAGTAAAGAAGAAAGGTAAAGAAAATTCAGAAAGTCTATCAAAAAGTAAGCAAGGAGAGAAAAGAAACAGTAAGACAAACTGAAAGTGGGACTATAGAAGTAAGTCCTAAGTTAATAGAACAATCAGAACAAATGCAAATAGATGAAACTTAACTTTTTTAAAGATAGAGACCCTGTGATTTTGTATAATTTTTAACCTGATATTTAAAAGATTTAGCTAAATAAAAATGATAATGGAAAATTGAAAATAGAAAAAGTGGTCAAAGGTGCTAGAGAAATGCCAACCAAAAGCAACTGATCCAACAGTTTTTTAAAAATATTCAGGTGAAAGCATTAAAGGGGATGAGGATGACTTCATTCTGATAAAAAGAAAGTCAGTCAAGAAGATGTAAAACAGACGAGCCTTTATGTCACATCAGCATGAACATCTGTTAAATATTTAAGGGTAACTACTAAAGTGATTCCCAACTGGTTTTGAACAAAATGCAAGCAAAATTTCTTCTTTATACAATAGTTCAATACCATTTCAATTATCTCTCTCTGTTACCTTTAATATTTTAACCCGTTCTACTGTTGTCTTTTATCTGTTGTGGTTGATGATAATTCTAATATTAACCTGATTATTTCTTTATAGAAAATTAGCATTTTTCCTTATTTTTGGTATTGTAAAATTTCACTAATATGTGTCTTATATGATGGTTTTTATTTATATCTTTATTTTGCATGCCAGTTTGGGGAACCTTTTCAATCCAAAGGTTCATATCTTTACCCAAGTCTGGGAAGTACTTTTGAATTGTTTTTTCTTCCCTTCAAATTGCTTCCTCTTTTTAAAAAATATTGCTCTCTCTCCATTTTATGTATTTTTTATTTCTGGTGTTCATTGTATATGATGTTGGGACTTTTCTATATATCCTCCATGTCTTTTAACTTTGCTTTTTAAGAAATCTTTTTATGGCTCTGTGTTGATTTCTGGGAACGTTGCTCAGTTTAATTTTCTAGGTCACTAATTCCGCTGGCTATTTTGCCATTCAGCCTGTTTAGTCATTCCTTAAGTTTTCAGTTATTGAAATTTTTCATTTGCACTATCTCTAGCTAATTTTTTTAAGTGCTTGCAATATTCTCACATTTCCCTTAAGCTAGTAATTACATGTATTCATTTTTGTTGTGTAAGTTCTTTGATTGTTGAGTTTGTTTCCTCTCTGTGGTATTGAGTTTCCTCAAGCAGTTGGTGATTCTTGATTGTAATGTCATCTGTCATATCTGCTTATGTAAACAGCTTGAAAGGACATTAGACTACGAAGCTAACAGCCTAGTGAGAGTGTGGGAGGGGTGAGACCAGCTGCTGGATGGGTCATTTTCATGGCCATTCACCTGTTCCTTTCAGGAAGAGAAGGGTGCAAAAGGGCACTGCCCCACTTTCTCACCCAACTTCCATGCCCAGTGCTCCAGCTTATAGCAGATAGTCCTTTATTGCTGCCTGGTCCAAGGAGCTAAGGAGGGTAAGGAGGTGAGAGTACAGTGCTTGCTTGATCTTTGTGCTACTGTACCCAAACTGTCACTCCGTTAGTCCCTCTGGACCCCAGCGTCCACCATCTGCAGACAGGAGCTCTCATTGGCACCAGCCCACATGTATGACAGTAGCATCCTCCTCTGGGGCCTGGGAGCTGTTGTTTCCTTTTAAAAATCAGATCACATCTACCTTCTGTCCTGAGGCACTCATCACGATCTCTAGGCTCCCAAGGGTTTGTTGCCCATCTTGCTTTCCAGTGTGGTTATTGTGTGCATTTATGAAGTGATTTCTAGGAATTTCAGGAGAGAAGAGGCCACAGTGTGTGCCCAATCTGCCTGTCTTTGAGAGAAGTCGGGGCGACTTCTAACCTCACTGAGCCTCAGTTTTCTCATGTTCAAAATGAGATGGTGGTGGTGGTGGTGGTGGTATTTAGCTAATATTTGAAAGTATAGTATACGTCAGGCATTATTCTAAGTTCGCACTTTACACATGTGAACTCATCTAATTCCTCAACAGCTCTATGATGTATATTATTCCTGCCATTTTGTAGATGAAGAAACTGAGGCACAGGGTAAGTTAAGTAACTTACCCAAATAAGTGGTTACCTACTTCATAGAGTTACTTTGAGGATTATTGAATTAATACACGTAAAGCAGTTAATGTTTGAAACATATTAAAAGCACAAAAAATGGCAGCTCTTGTTTTCCTCAGAGTCAACAACAGAGCTGGCTGGTAACAGGAACTAATAAATATATGATGAATGGATGAAAAGACACCAACAAGTCATGTTCCGCTTGGTCTGCAGAATGTTGTGTAGAGGTCATCAGACAGGAAAACCTGTCCTAGTGTTTTGTTATGTAATAAAAATAACTGTGGGTGTCTCGACATTACCTGCTTGGTTCCCACCCTACCAGCTCAACATTTTAGATTTTTAGGTATTGAGTTCTTGGAGCTTGAAATGATTTTAACTTTTTCTGCTTTGTCATGTGGTATGATTGCAAATCACTGAGTGAATAAGTTTTTAAAAATCAGTCGTTTTTAATTTCTCACGTTCAGAGTACTGAAAAAGACGCTGACTTTTGCTTTTAGACAACTTACACTCTAATTTTCATATGCATATATATTACATACCCATTGTCTCACTGCATGAGAAAACTTTCCTTCACTCAGTAGTACTCTATTGAAGACCAACGTCCAACATAGGGTCTGGTACAGAACAGGCATCCAATGAAGTACTGCTGGGTAAATGAGCACGCACATATATGTAAATTAGAATGCACATCTCTGCCTTCACGGGACCCATCGTCCAATGGAAGAGAGAGACTTGTAAGAAGTAATTGGAACTCATCACCACAGTGATGCTTCATAGAATGTATCCTGCGAGTGTGGAGGAAGGAGAAGGTAGCTATGTTGGGGCGGGGGAGGAGCCACAGGGGAGATGA